AGGGAGGGAGGGAGGGGGAGAGAGGGAGAGACACACATCAATTGGTTGCCTCACACACGTGCCCCAACCAGGGCCAGGGATCGAACCTGCGATCCAGGTGCGTGCCCTTGACTGGGAATCGAACTGCTGACTCTTAGGTGCTTGGGCTGATGCACCAATCACTGAGCCACACTGGCCAGGGCTACCCTAGAAATTTCAAAGTTGCAAAAAGTGGCCTTTCCTATTAGATGAAAGGCAGGCTGGGTGCCCTAGGCAGGGAAAGGTAAGAACGCTGCTGTATATTGGGCTCCCTGCACCAGCACCAACCACTAGCCTGTGACAGCAGAATGGGTGAGTGTCAAGGCTATCTTTACCATGAAGGAAGGGGGTTATAAGCTGAGAAGAATGGAGTCATAAGGAGAAGAAACCTAACAGCATAAATAAGGGCAAGAAGGAAACATGAACAAGCACTTACATCTTAACTTTTAGCCTTTCTCCATTCTTCATGTTTAATGAAGCAAAATAACTGGGCAAGGACTTATGAGCCAGCGAAGTTGGGTGGAACACAACTGTAGACTGACAGCCAACCATGATGACCAAAGGGCTTCATCAAAGTTACTGTGGATTTTGTTTCTGCCTCACTATGTTCTTGCATGTACTTTGTCAGTACAGTAAAGACATTTAAATACTCCAGTGACAATTACAATAGTTTCAGAAAGGAATCTATTGAGCATAGCCTTGAGAAACAATATGAAAAGGGAGTTCCCCTTTGAAGACAAGGGATATGGGCAAATTCAACACCTTAAAAACACCACCACATAGACGCATACTACAGTATGGTGACTGCCAGGGGGAAAGGTGGGTGGGGGAGGTAGAAGACGGTATAGGGGGGACAAATGGTGATGGAAGGAGACTTGACTTGGGGTGGTGAATGCACAATGCAACATACAGATGATGTATTATAGCTAACACTTGAAACCTATATAAATTTATTAACCAATGTCACCCCAATAAATTCAATAAAAAAGTAAAAAAACCACAGTAACAAAAAAGATACAAGACCACAGTGAGGCAGGCATATTTTCCTTCTTTTGCTGAACCACAGCATGAGGCCTTTATGCTAACTATGGTTTAACTGGTGTTGGATAAGCTTTATAAAACATGAAGATGGCAAAGGTTCACTTACATTCTTATATTACTACTTTAATTTATTTAAAACCTCAAACACTTGTGCTTGCAATAACTTCCTAAAAGCAGTAGTGTTCCCTTATATTACCTTAGATACGAATGATTTTTACTGTGCTAACAGCTGAACCAATGGTGCAAAACTGAGGTGGTACTTAACTGCAGCAAGGTCTCTGTAAATCAAAATCTGCGCTTTACATAGAAATCTTATTTATAAAAAATACAATACCAAGTACAGTGAGAATGGAGCATGGAGCAGCAGCTCCCTGCCAGGGCCATGTGGAAGTGGCTCTTGCTACAGTGCTTGCTTAATGGCACAAGTGAAAAGCTGAGTAAGGCAAACACTTGAAGAGGCAGTTTTTCTGTAAACTTCTTGGGGTGGAGGGAATTTCCTCTGTTGGGACAGGTGCTGATTTGGGATGGCTAAGATCAGGTGTGATATTTGGCTGCACTTGACACATCACATTACAGATTAAGACAGCTGCTGGCTGAGATCAGTTCTCTTGTTTTAGGAGAGAGGTTATCACTGTAGTCTTCTGCCTTTCCTGTTACAATGTGCAACCTCCAGCTGGTGCCCCCACTATGGAGGAAATCACCTCCAAAATCTTTCTAAGTGAAAAGATACAAAATAAGCTAAGTTATTCAAAAATTACCTTAGCTTAAAGCTCCTTAAGAACCCTACATTGATTACTAAGCAACTTTGTTAGCGCTGTGTAGCTCCACACAAATACTAACTAGAATAAGTATTCCCACTCACTTGGTACCTAATAGTAGTAAACTATAATGACACTTAGAAAAGAAACAGATCTTGAGGAATTTTGGCCTCTTCTCATGTCCTCACTTGGAACTTTCCAGCTTTCGTGACATATTTGACTCCTTTAAATGGCTTATATTTCTCCCCATACATGTCCAAGCGGTTTACTTTTAAGCCTGTGCCAAAAAGAATAGGTAAGGAAAGGAATATATTATTATCCTGGTCACACCAACCAATACAATATTTGTTTAACAGTGAGCACTACACAGTAATTCTGACATTAACCAGTGTCCCTTACACCATTTGGAAGCAATGTCCTTTCTACCATTCACAAGTTACAGCATTGATGAAGTGTGATTTTAGTTCAGATTCCCATGTGGGCAAGGAATGTCTTTTAAGGATAATTCTTTCTGAATGAATGACTCCGTTGGTGTTTGAATCAGGGTTGGGGTAAAGGGAAGCTGTGTGAAATAAGGTGCTCTCCAAAATCACTGTACCTGAGAGGCTGGCCCCATAGCAGTGTGAAAGGCAAACTGGAGCTGTTGCTCTTTCTAGAGAGGGAATATTCCTTACCCTTCTAAACTCCTCAGCAAAACTCAATTACCCTTAAACACAAATTTATCCTTACCTGAAATAGCAAGCTGCTGGATCTTGAACTGTATATTGAGGCTTGGATTTTCTTCTGGCTTAGGTGCTCCAGACTGTAAATTTACCAGTCCTTTAAGACTTGGGAGCTTTTGTGGAGTAATTTTCCCCACGTCCCATGTTAGTACCTTAAAAAGACATGAAAAACAGAAACAATCTGAACCATTTAATAAAGACAAATGTTCAAAGACAACATTCAAAGACACTGTAAGTTTTTGTACAAAATGAAGCACAGTGTCTTATAGACCTGGGAGCTTTACTAATTAGTTCTGTGACTCTGAATGGAGAGTCAGTAGAGAACCCACATTAGCTGAACACTTATTTTTGGATATAGCACTGTACTTAGCACTACCTGTATGTTATCTTATAGAAGCCAGTAATGTAGATTTTGTCTTCTATTTACAAATGAGGAAATTAAGGCTCAGAGGTCAAATGACTGCTCAAGGTCACACAGCTAGTTAGCTACAAGGCTGGGATTTGAGGCTAAGGCTATATGATTTGAAATGTTCTTTCCACTAGACGACCTTCACTGTTTCTGTCTGAGCCTCAGTTTATTTTTCTGTAAAATGAGAAGACTGACCTAAATTGGTATTTTAAACTTTTAGCTATGGAACCCTTTGTGCAAATGAAATCTTTAGTGTGGCAGCTCAATAACAGATGAGAAAGTAAAGCCGGGGTAAAGGGCCGGCAACTGAATCTCTCCACTTCTTAGCCCTGTGTGGTCTTTAGGGAGGTTCTTTGAATCCTCAGGACTGGATTAGATGATCTTTAACATTCTATGATTTCATTTAAAATATACCTTTTCATTTACCAGGCAGCTCAATGACTTTGCTGTTGAAAAGAATATTTTTTACCCAACCAGGAAGCTGAGAGAAAATAATTTTTTACATTTTCTCTGAAAACCCTCTGCTTGAGGCACATTTATATAGGGTGAGGAAGCTGCTTTCCTAGCCAACATCCCCTGTGGAAAAGTATAAAACAATGCTTTTAAATTTAAAAAAAAGAGAGAAAGATCTTAACGATCAATTTCTACAGAAAATTTAACAACAGACTCTGCATCTTCTTCCTCATTAGAGAAAGAGTGTCTGGATTATCCATGGATGAGTCAAAGTGTGCACACTCTGATGGGGGACAGCATGAGTCTCTGTTCTGCTCAGCAGCAAATGCAGTATTGCCTTCATAGCCAGTGGCAAAAGCACAGCACAGTATGCTCTCTAGGTTTTGTTAGGAACTTTAGTTTTAACTAAGGGAAACCTTTTCTCTAGCCCCTGTCCCAAATCACAAAATAAAGATTGCAGAAACATGCTCACTCTTGGTTTGAGATGACTATACCTTGGTAACTGGATCAAATGTATAGCTGCCTTGTGTTGGTGTCAGGTTCATATTCAGCACAACTTTTGGCATGTGAACTGTCACTGTGATTCCTTCAATGGTTTTCCCCATATTCTGTTTTGGTCCAATTGTAATATCAAATCTGCCACAAGAGCTGTTCTCCTTAAAGCTGATGCTGTGTTTCACATACACTGGTATTGCCACTAGGCTGAAAAGATAAAGAAACAAAAACACAAACACACAGGATTAATGGCATGAGCCAGCACAGGGGGTGACCTCAAAACATCAGTCGAGAGTCTTCTACCCTGCCTCTACGTTCACTATAAGACTCTATACCCCTAGAAGTGCGGATTCTGCATCTGCACTGGGGGTGGGGCAGGGGCAGGGTGAGTACAGCACAGTGTTTTGGTATCACTACACTAGGAATTATACAACTTCTGAGGAGTAAGTATACAAATCAAGATAGAAACCCGAAGCTTAATTATAGCGTAAACAACTGGGGCAAATATTCCTAGTTTAAAGATATTAATTAAGATCCGTAGAAAGATATTTTAAAATTATGCAAACTAAACAAAGCAGTTCCTATGTGGTTAAGAGCCAAGAAACAGTTCAAATCTCCGCTTCTGAATCCTGTCCTGATGTCACCTTAATAACCTCTAATGTTTTCAAGGGACAAACCAGCTATAACCCACAACACTAAATCATTCATTTATACTCAGTGCAGAAAAGAGTGACTTGATATCAGTTAGTTGGGGAATGTCCTGGGGAGCTACAGGTAGGTCTGTCTCCTTCTGTCAGCCATGATGTCTACAGACCATAGTAAAATTATGGCACAGGGTCTTGGTTTTGCCTAAGTTATACAAAGTCCCAAAAGCTTGCTCTCAGGTACACATTTTATTATAGTCTCATTTACTACTACTCTATGCTCTTAGATTCAAGGTACACTGATTATTTTAGACACTTATTTTCACCAGTTCTTGGATCTCCTGGTAAACTATGGCTAAAGGCAGCAATGATGAATTGAAGTATCCAACTGTCAGAATGAACTGGGAGTCAGTTCTACCCAGCACATTGATATATGATGGCAGTATGTGGGTGGTGTATCGACATACTTTTGCGAGCTGACCCGATACGATATGAGTCGGAAATTTCCATCTGGAGGAATAAATGACAAAACTCTTTCAGATTCCCAACGCTTGAACCGGATGCAGGGGTGGAAGCTGACATCATCTAGAAGCCTTGGGTTCTGCCAGGAAAACAACACAGCCACCATAGACATAGAGCATAATGAACATGGCAACTCTACTAAGATATTATGAGAAATTAACATGCTCCCTAAAGATGAAGCAGTCATGTAAGAGTTTGTTTTATAACCACATCATAAGCATAGTTTCACAATGCTTTAAAGTTTGCAAATATTTTATATACATTATTTTACTTGAATTTCAATAACCATGAAGTAGAAAATAGAAGCAGTATCATTTCCATTTTCTAGATGAAAAAACTGAGGTTCAAAGAACTCGAGGTCAGGACAAGTTAGTGGCAGAGACAGAACCAGAACTCATTTCTCTTGTTTGTTCTTAGTAGTGTGTCATGCTGTCTAAAATGATGCAAAAAGGTCCATGCCCTTTCATACCAGCAAAGCAAATAATTCAGTAAAATGAACACTGCAGATTTGCAGAAGCCAGTCAGCCATTTAAGCTCCGCCTAGCACACCTAGGCAAAGACCTCTCCTCAGCCTTTCGTAAAGGCCATGCTCATCATGTAAGGATAGTGTCTTGGTGACCTGTGCTAGGAATATTCTGAGATACTTTTTTGTAATCTAAGATACAAGAGTGTCTCAGTATTTACCTTTTCACTTAGTACTTATCATTTAGTACTTCGTATGTATTAGGCATGCAAGGAGCTACAGGACAGGAAAACAAAACCTACCATGAAAGAAAGGGAAAGGTCAGGCATTCCGGATAACTTAATGCAAGCATCGATGACCCCCTGAATTTCTGCAAAGACTGTAGATCCTGAAGAAAGAAAGAAAAAGGGTGATAACATCCCTGGAATATGCGTCTTTACTAGAGCTATCACTGTGTCCGAAGTAATGGAGACACCTCCTGGATGTCAGACGTACTGAAGCTTTACACATCTATTAACAGGTCAGTGGATAGAGATCCATTACACTCAGCTTCTTCACAGAGTGCCATGGCTCATACCCAATCACAAGCTGGAATATGGTAATTCCAAGGAAAATCAAACCTGTCTATATCTCTATAGAGTCAAACTAGTAAGAATGCTGGATATACAGTTAAAATCTTTTTAATAGAATTTTAAAATGAGGCAAGTTTCTCAAGAAATGGACTAAGCTGTTAACTCTAAGAAATAGTAGCCATTATTCTGTAATAATACAGCTATTACTGTATGATGAAATTTTATAATGAAAGGGGCACTCAATGAAAAGATATTGGCTATAATTCACAATAACTCAGTTCACACCAACTAGCTGTGTTACCTTGGGCAGATTACTTTACCCTTCTGAACTTCAGTTTCCTTATGCCTAAAATGTGAGGGTTGGACTAAATGTTTAAAATTTTGTGTGATATTCTAATAAAGCACTGTTTTTTTTGTCTGGGGTCTTTACTAGAAGTATTGGACAAAAAGTAGTAGCAAAAATATGGTGTATAGTAGATGTACAATAAATGTTAGAATGAATAAACGGCAAGAGGAGAGGTGTACAGGGTAATAACAGGCTTAATGTAAGACAATATAAGATCTGATTTACAAAGATTTGGCCGATTTCAACTAGTGGTTATGAAAATTATATGTAATCTTTGGGCAAAATAAACAGATTTTTAAACCATTAGAAAACAAATGCCTTTCCACTGAAACCACACTGCCAAGGGATTTCAATTTTCTATTCAGCTTATGTCAGCTGAACTGTTTTCCCCCAAATAAGACCACATGCACACAATTACCTGATTTATCTATAATTGCATCTATTTCTTCAATGACATCAAAATAGGCTTCATTATTTGTGTACTTTACTCCTGCCCGGCGCCATGGGATGTTGGACAGCTGCCCAGTGGGGAGTGTGTCCCCAACATTACTACTGCCTAGAAACCAGAAAAGGAGAAAGCAAAGCTAATGCATAAACGGTCATCAGAAAAGCTATTAACAGAAAAAATAAATGCTTTAGCTGCTTCTTTAATGTTTGGGTTTTTCTTCATTGAAGTTGTGGATGGTTTCCAGAATTGTTGGAGACATAGCCATACCAACATGATCAAATTTCCAGAAGACAGAAATAGGCCATGTGGTCCTCTATCTGCCAAGCCAGGTTAAGTTCATTTACTTATCTTTTGCTTCCTGTGTGTTAACAGTAACCTAACCTAATTCCAGTGGCTCAACAACAGAATCTCATCCTGTTGCCACTGATGAAAAAAGGCTGGTTGTTTCAAAACCTTCTGCCGATAAAATGTCTCCACTGAGAATACACAGTGATAACTAGGTCCTTTGGTATTCAGCTTGGATTCTACATGAGATGCTGCCAAGCAGGCCTCAGTGGAGTAAGTGCAATGAAGAACATACTCTGGCCTTTTTCCATTTTAAGGTCAGCACACCCATCTGGCCACAATATGGCTAATGTTCAATATCTGGCTAATTTCTTGGTAACCTGATATAGGTCTGAAAATAAGTCTGATTGTCTTAAACATATATCTTTGAGTTTTGAAGTAGTTAAGACTTTGGTTAATTTACATTTTCAATTCAAAAGTAGTACTTGCTTAACAACACCTTTCATTGTGACTACATCACCTGTAAAGTATGAAATTGCTTTTAAAAATCTTATACTGTTATTTATGTATTTTAATTTTTTTCCAGTCTCCTCCCACCCAGAGTGTAAGTTTTAGGAAGGTGCACAGACACTCCATCTTATCTTTCCTTGAATTTCTCCTAACATTCAGCCTTGTACAGAAGATGAGTGAGAGTTATGGAATAAATGCTTTCTTATAGGCCTCTCTCACCCCATTTTTAGATCAGTGCACTTGGAGAGACATTTACAGTGGTGGACAGTATAGTTGGAATGGCATATAACATTTGAGAGAAATCTTTCTCAAGAAGGTTTTACTATTTTCAAGAGTATTGTCATCTGGATGTACCTAATTTCTATCTTTACTGAAGAATTCAACCAAAATTGGAAGCTTCTAACACAAGTACAAGGCCCACCATGCATGAGACCTCAAAAAGAGACTAATTTCTTGTCTTTCTGTTTTAACACATCTTTTGCATATATTTACATGCTGCCGAATTAAGCACTTGCATGTATAAAACAAAGATCTGGAGGAGACAGTATATACTCTGTGGTGGAAAGTCTTAAATTTTCTGTACTCTAGTAACTGTAGGGTAGCAGTATAATGCCAGTTTTACAATACTATTTTTATTTTTTCCAGCTTTACTGAATTGTAACTGACATATCACATTGTGTTAAGTTTAAGGTATACAATATAGTGATTTATGTATATATTGCAAAATGATTACCACAGTAAGTTTAATTAACATCCATCATGATATTGGCTTCTTTAGGACTAACTGGGATCATTTATTCAGTCTTATTATTTAGTGTTAAATAACAGTAATGTTATTGTGGTCTTGTAGAAAAACCTATAGTAGAAGAGTAATAACCAAAAAGTTCTTTATCATTTAAGACCCAGCCTCTTTCCATGAAAAAAAAAAAATACACATCCATTTAAAAATCATCACTAACTTTGATTTTGGCCAAATTAGACTATCTTAAGAATCTGCCAGATCATAAGAAATGGTGTTGAGTTGTTTATAAAGTTTTAGTTGCTCAATTCCTAATAAAGTATGTTTTGACCTTACCTGTAATAGAGTTGACAACGGAACGAAGAATTGTTGGTGGTTTAATCAGTTCTTTCAAAATGTTAGATTCGGTAGCCAGAGGAAATCCATTGTCTAACATTTCTTCCAAGAGCTCATACACTATGACCACATTGTCCTTAATCGCAGCCTCGGAACACTCACCAAAGTAGTCCTAATAACACGTACATAATATTGCACATGGGAGGAATGAAGAAAGGCTTGCTAAATACTTTCTGTTCTGAAGAATAAACTTACAGCTGCATAATTCAATGAATGTAAAACACAGAAAAAAACCTTTGATAGGTTTTAAAAAAATTTTAGATTGAATTGAATTCCTATTACATATTATGCCAGAAAGTACACTGAAACATTAAACCAGAATGTGAACTATAAAATTCCTTTGTCCTGACAAGGTAACACCAAAACACACAGATTAAAGTATTTGGAATATTCAGCAAAACAAGAGAAAATAACAAAATGTGGTATTAGAAGATTTCATGATCAATAAAAATCTTGGGACCATTCAGAGAACTGTGTGTGGAAAGCAAGGTTTCCTGATGACATAATTTGTAATACCTGTAAGAAACAAGGCTTCCATGCCCATGAGATTGTTTTGTCCTAAAACAGTGAATGAAGCAGCCATGTGTGCTACTGTACACCCTACATAAAAGGGTTTATGAAGTTATGCTTAGTTGAAAAAGAGAGAGACAGACAGCACATCAAAAGCTGGGTAATTAAAAGATATAATAATGTGTCCCACCTCCAAATAACTTGGGTAATTTAAGTTCAAAAGATTTGACGAATAACTAACCTGAAAAGTGTCAGCAACTCGATGTAGGAACTCAATTACAAAGAGAGGTGGCACTTCAGTCTGTATGACAGACACAAAGAAGAGCTTATCCCTGTAGATACTGATGAGGTAGTGGTGAGGTGTTGAAATGACAGGTGGTACATTTTCAACATCAGCAGCTTTCTCTTGAGCTTCAAAGAAATAATCACAGACAGACTGGCTCACAACACTCTTCCAGTGCTTCTCTAGAAATATGTCACCGGAACAGTTTATGAGAAATAGACTGTGGATCATTTTCTGGGGGGAAAAAGTTTAAATTTAGTATACAATAAAAGCATCCTTGTATTATCCTGACATCAAAACCAGAAAAGGCAATATAAGAAACTACAGACCATGATCACTTAAGAATATAGAAGCAAAAATTCTGAACAAAATACTAGCAAATGAACACAGCAACATACAAACAAAGGTTATATACTTTGACCAAGTGGCATTTATTCCAAGAATGTATAGTTGGTTCAACATATGAAAATCAATTAACATAATACACAGTATTCATAAAATAAAAGACAAAAAACTATCATTTCAAAAGGTACAGAAAATCATTTGGCAAAATCCAACACCTTTCTATGAGAAAAACATGTAACAAACTAGGAATAGAAAGAAACTTCCTCAACCCGATAAAAAGAAACTATGAAAATTCCATAGCTAACATCATATTTAATGGTTGAAGACCAAAAACTTTCCCCTTAATATCAAGAACAATGATGTTCACTCTCACCACTTCGAATCAATATTGTATTAGAGGTTCTAGCCAGGGCACCTAGGCAAGAAAATGGAAACAAAAGCCTTCCCAATTGGAAAGGAAGAAGTAAAACACACACATACACTATTAGAGTTAATGAGTTCAACAAGGTTACAGGATACAAGGTTAATATAAAAAATCAATTGTGCTGCTACATACTAGCAATAGGTAATCTGAAAATAAAACTGAGAAAATTATAAGAGCATCAAAAAGATAAAAATACTCAGGATTAAATTTAATAAAAGAAGAGCAAGGCCTGTACACCAAATATTATAAAGCACTATTGAAAGAAATTAAAAAGAGCTCTAGCCAGTTTTGCTCAGTGGTTAGAGCATTGGCCCTTGGACTGAAGGGTTCTGGGATCGATTCCAGCCAAGGGCATGTACCTCAGATGCAGGCTCGATCCCGTCCCTGGTCAGGGCTGCTGCAGGAGGCAACCAATTGATGTGTCTCCCTCACATCTTTCTCTCTCACATCTCTCTCTCCCCCTCCTTCCTTCCCTTCCACTCTCTCTGAAAAGCAATGGAAAAATATCCTCAGGTGAGGGTTAAAAAAAAAAAGACCTAAAAAATGGGAAGACATTTCATGTTGATGGACTGTAACATATAATACTGTTACGACAGCAATACTCCCTAAATTGATCTACAGATCCAATGCAATCCTGTTAAAATGCCTGCTGCCGTTTTTGTGGAAACTAACAGTTTGACCCTAAAATTCATGAGGAAATGAAAGAGACAAAGAAGAGCCAAAACAGTCTTGAAAAAGAAGAACAAATTTGGAGGACTCGTACTTCCTGATTTCAAAACTTACTACAAAGGTACTGCGTGGTACTGGCACAAGGACAAACTATAGATCAAAAGAATAGAATTGAGTTCTGAAATTAACCCTTACATATATGGTCAACTGATTTTTGACACCTGTGTCAAAGCCATTCAACTGGGGGAGAGAAGAGTCTTCAACAAATGATGCTGGGACAACTGAACTTCCATATGCAAAGAATGAAGCTGGACTTCTACCTCACAATATATAAAAATTAACTCAAAATGTATCAAATACTTAAATATAAGAGGTAAAACTATAAAACTCTTAGAAAAAACATATGCATAAATCTTCATGACCCTGGATTAGACAATGATTTTTAGCTATGACACCAAAAGCACAAACAACATAAGAAAAACAGATAACCTGGACTTATATCAGAATTAAAAACTTTTGTGCTTCAAAGGACATTAGCAAGAAAAGGACCCCCCCCCCCACACACAAATGAGGAAACATTTGCAAACCATATATTTTATAAGGGACTACTATCCAGAATATATAAAGAACTCATACAACTCAACAATAAAAAGACAACCCAATATAAAATGGGCAAAGGATTTGAAAAGATTTTTCTCCAAATAAGATTTATACATAAATGGCCAATAAGCACATGAAAAGATGCTCTACATATTTTCAACATATAAATAAAAATCACAATACATTTAATAACTACTAGGCTAGATATAATCAAGAGACAGACAATAACAGGTGTTGACAAGAACATAGAGAAACTGGAACCCTATTACATTGCTGCTAGGAATGTGAAACGGTGCAGCTGCTGTGGAAAACAGTTTGAGTTCTTCAAAAAGTTAGAGACAGAATTACCAAATGACTTAGCAATTCTCCTCCTAGGTAGAACTGGAAACTGTGTGGACATGTGCTTCTAGCAGCATTATTCATAACAGCCAAAAAGTGAAAACAACCCAAACTGATGAATGGATAAATAATAAATATATGAACAATGGAATATTACTTAGCCATGAAAAGGAACGAAGTACTAGTATGTGTTACAACATGGATGAACTTTGAAAACATTATATTGAGAGAAAGAAGTCAAACACAAAAGGCCATATATTGTATGATTCCAGTTATATGAAATGTCCAGAATAGGCAAATTCATAGAGATAGAAAGTAAATTGGTACCTGCCAAGGGCTGGGTGGAGGGGTAGAATAAGGAATTATTGGTTATGGGTTTGGCATTTCTTTTCTGAGGTGATAAAAACTGCTGGAAACAGAGATGATGGTTACACTACTTTGTGAATATACTAAAAACTCCAAAATTATACACTATAAAATGGTGAGCCTTATGGTATGTGAATTATATCTCTATTTTAAAAAAGTATTCTTAATACCTTGTGACACACAAATCCACTCCCAGGTGGATTAAAAAGATATGTGTACAAATGTGCACTCAAAACATATATTTGTAATAGTGAAAACCTACAACAACTCAAATGTTTACGAATAGTACAAAAGAAAAATAAACTTAGTATTATAAATATTATACAGCAATGAAAATAAACTATTGATACATGAAACAAATATGGATACATCTTACAATACTGAACACAAAAGGATACACAGAGGATGATGTTATTTATATGGAGTTCTAGAACAGATAAAACTAATCTATGTTTGAAAAATCAAATGGTTTATTTTATGGAGGAAATTGGGGGTAATAACAGAGAAGGGCCTGGGAGTGGTCTTCTAGGTACTGGTAATGTTTTATTTCTTGATCTAGATAATGGTTACAAGTTGTGTTCATCTTGTAACAATTCATTGGACTTTATGCTATGAGTTGTATACTTTTCTGAGGGTTAGTTACACTTCAAATAAAAAGGTTACTGTCCTTTCAATATGGAGGACATTGAGAAAAAGTTTAATTACCTTAACTTTTTCATTTCTTTTATATGGACATCAGTAGAAAGGTGTTTAGTATAGTGGTCCATTCATTCAAAATTATAGAACTGTATGATAAATGTAGCCTAAGGAAAAAGAATTTAAAATCTATGAATACAGTTTCTATGCATGAAGATAAATTTCAAAGAGGAAAGGAAGACTTTCCATAAATGGATTCATTCAATTCTGCTGACACAGAAAACAGTGACAACAATTTGACTAGTTCATTTTGGAGGAAATCACTTATTTTATGGAAGTGGCTGACATTTAAAGACTATCTGGTGATAACTTCCTGTTCCTATTTAGCCTATGTTCAATAATTATCAAGTAAATAATACTAATTATTAAGATGTGTTTTAGTAATTACTATATTAATGGAGTTATGAATGCTGTTAATAGTTTAGGGTTCCTGCTATTAGAAACAGTAAAATGTTTCTTTGTTCAAAACCATCTCTGTTTAGCTAAGCAATCAACTTGAGTTGGCAGCAATAAAACCTGATATCTCAGGCTTTGGATCTACTAAAATTTTCCAGATTAATATTTGAAATCTGTTAAAATATTCTACTTTAGTCAGATGCTTTGTTTAGTAGGTTAGCTTTGTGTCAGCCTTTTATTTCTAATTGTGTGTTAAAATATTGCCCTTGTAATACACAATACATAGACTTGCTATATAGAACCTACTGACTTTACCTGACTTTATAACCTCTGCTGATACACTTTTCCCCCCTAAATGAAACAGGATATCCAGCAATAAGATATGTAACTAAATTTGTATTATGATACCTTTTCTTAAAATAAAATCTTCATCTGAAATACAATGTGGTTTAAAGCAGAACACTGTAATAAACTCAGAGAACCAAATTTGAGCACTTTAGGTGAGTCAACTATTGAATATGGCATCCTTTGAAAAAATTAATTTACAGCTCCATTCAAAGTGCTAAGGATACATGAATTAATAATATCTAAAACATGTTGAGTACTTACTGTGGGCCAGACACTATGCTAGGCACTTTTCCTACATTAACACATTTAATCAACACATCTCAATGCTACAAATACTGCTCTTACCCTCATTTTACAGATATGACAATAAAGTATCAGAAATGTTAAGTCAGTTACCTAACATCATACCTTAAGTATCAGAGATAGGAGTCAAATCCAGATCCAAGTGAATCCTGAGCTCCTGTTCTTACCTGCCTCTTAGAGAGTAATTATTAGAAACAAAGCAATACTGTCCAATAGGATTTCCTGCAATGATGGACATGTCCTATATCTGTGCTGTCCTATACAGTAGCCACTAATCACATGTGACTATTGAACGCCTGAAATGTGGCTAATGCAATTGATGTACTGAAGTTTTTATTTTAATTATGTTAAATTTAAATTATATGTAGTTAGTGTTTACCATATTAGACTGAGTAGCAAACGTGCTGTTTGAGCTTATAATTAAGAGAAAGAGTTGAAGGGTATGTTTCTTGTTTAGTTAGAAGCCAACGTGTTCTAATAAATTATTTAGAGCAGAAATTATATTTAAAGGAGCTGACATATGCTCTCTTCTTCAACCGTTCATCTTATAGAAAGAATAGTTCACAGGTATCTGTGGTACTCCATTGCCACAATATACCCTAAAACAGCTGCTTGTACTTGAAGCAATTGACTTCGTAGTTTCTTTATTTTTAGGGACCAGATTCCTACTCATCTTTTAAGCTGGTGAAAAATTCTTTCCAGGAAAAGTTTCCACCAAAGTTGTTTTCATTGGCAGTAGTTCAGGTCTCAGAAGACTACAGTAAGTTAAACTGGCCATCTGGATTTATTGTTCCTATCCTTAGTGCTGAGATGAAAGCATAACACTTGTAGCTTTCATTAGTGCTTAGCTTTAAAACCCATCTTAACCTTCTGTTATAGAAAAAGAGAGCTTATTTCTTCCATCCGCATTATGATCAAGGGCCTAAAGCATGTAACAATTAAATAAATACCACTTGCAGACTGTTTCTTTAGCTACTTAATCTTCGAGCAGCTGCAGTTACTTTTTATTATTTTAATAAACTTCCTGGGAAAGCTACACACTCACCACCACCACAACTATCTTTTTGCTCTTAGTGACTTTGAGTCAGGAAACAGAATTCTTTGTTATTTTAAAGCCACTTGAGAAAGTGCCTTCAGAGGCAGTTCCATCAGAGCTTTGAATGCAGCTTAAATACAATACTTCATAAATCCTCTTTACCAAATGTTGAACACACTCATCCTGATGATTCACAAGCCATGCAATTACAATAGTCAAATATCCTTGGAAGATAAAAAGAGAAAATGTATTCCTTCTAGATAAAACAGGAGAAAGGCATGGAAGGTGAGAAGAGAGGCATATCCAAGGTGAGAGAATAAGACCAGAAAAGAATCTGGCTCACCTGATTCTCAACCAATATTTTGACCATTTATTCATTCAACAAGTAGTTTTGAATGTTTTTTACATTAAACAATGGGGAGACGGGGTGAACAAAATACAGTCCCTGAACTCACAGTGTTTAGAGTTCAACAAAGAAGGCAAAAAAGGTTTTGAGGTGAGAGAGAACAAAAGAAAAATAAATCTAGTACAAATTTAGCAACTTTAGAAGGTAGAGGGAAATGGTGAGATGAGAGTGGAGGAGATACGCAGAGATGGGTTCACTTTGTTTTCAGGGCAATGCAAAATCTTTTTTTATGGTTTTATGCGGGGGATTCATGCAATCCCATTTACAGTTTTAGGGAAGACTGCACTGTGGCAACTGCATGATAGGGAAACTGGATATTGTGACACAATTGATAAATGAGTTATGGTGGTGGCCTGAGCTAGAATGTTAACAGTAGGGATGCAGTAAAATGAAAAGATAAGAGAAACACATTGGTTTGAGCAAAGATTGGGGAGGGGAGAAAGGGAAGTATGAGAGGGAAAATGAGGCATTTAATCCTAGTTCTGTATAACCTGATCCAATTCTGGCTATATTTGATGCAAATGGATATATTCAAAACACTACTGGTGCTTCTGAGAGAAGCCGAGTTGGAGATAGACTTGTGAGTAATCATAATTTTTTGTCAATGGGAATTGCAATGATAAGGAGAATAAAACTACAAAGAGAGCGCATGAGTAGAAGAGAGCCTGGGGAAGGAACTCCAGCATTTGAGTAGCAGCTGGGTCAAGGAAGTGTGCATAACAAGAGTATTTGGACACACTCTCCCTCTTGGGAGCAAGCCAGCACTTTTCCCTTCCCTTTCTTCTCCCACAGACATTCATCTCCTAAACCCTAAGGGACCCAATGAGACTTGCAACCCAGGGAGCAATGGGCAGCGGCACCTCATCCCCAGCTAACTCTCTGAGCCGGTCTCCAAGGCCCCCTCTTATCTGACTTCCCAGTGATCTCACAGCAGCCCTGCCTTGGCTCACGTCTTCCCCGTAACATTCCTAGAGAACTAAAGCAGCCTGGCCTAGTCTCTCTCCTGTTGCTTCTTCTATCCTAGGTCCTTCCTTGTCCCCAGCTTTAACATACTCTCAAAAAAAAAAAAAAAAAAAAGATTTGGCTGACGAAGGATAAAAGAAAAGTGGTCAGGATAATGGTTTTTAGTAACTAGGTTGTGTTAGTATGTTTCCAGAAGAATGGAGTATTAAACATTTTAAATGGCACTACAAGTTCAAGCTCCAAGAGCTGGACATGTGTTGATCTAACTGTGTTTCTCAACTTTCTCTTCATGATTACCTGCTAGAGGGGCCTTTTCAGAGACTCCCCTTCTATCATACCCCTCCCCTAGGAAATTCCAGTACCACAGAATATATATCTGTAAATCTCTTTATGTATACTGTAAACATATCTGTGCTTTATTCATAAAAGGGTATGATTTTTTTTCCTTACAAGAGGTAATTTTTATCCCTACTAAGAATATATGATTTAACACATAGAGGACATTGATGATCTTAGTAAAAGCAGTTTCAGTGATAGCTTAGTGGAATGCTGGAAAGCAGATATACTATAGAGGGCTGATAAATGAGAAATAAATAGCATGAAGTGGGGGAAACAGATAAGGGGAGTAGATGGTACCTTCAAGAACCCTAGTTGTGAAGAAATGAAAAGAGAGGAAAAAAATGGGTATAGTTCATAAAATTAAGGAAGAATATTTTTAAATGCTAAAGAAAAGGTGTGAGCAGAGGGGGAAAGGCTAATGATGCAGGAGAATAACTGAAAAAAAGAAGACCCTGTGAAGGGAGGAGAGGATGGTATTGGTCAATTAGGTGAAAGGATTTGTTTTCCATAAGGAGAAGGGACACTTTTTCCTCTTTAAACGAAGGTTTATATATTTGGTTGCAGGAAGGTGATGGGTTTTATTTTCTCTGTTTAATAGGAAGGAAGGTAATTTGTAGATGGAGACAAAATTCCTCTTTACAAATACTATTTGCTACCCATGAATTAAGATCCTATTGTGCAACTTAAAAGTATCTCTCTAGCCTGCAGGGAGCTCCAATAGTATCTTATGTTGAATGTCTAGAAACACTGTAAAAATCCTAAGATTCAGTATGAAAAGCTAATCTTATTGCAAAGAGAGCTTTCCTACTAAAGATGTGTACATTTTGGGTAATTCTTCATTAACCTTATTTCTCCACTTTTTCTACGGTTTCAATGGAAAGTGTCTTCCTTTCCAGAACTAATCCTTCCACTTGTAATTTTGAATCTTTAATGTTATACATTGGTTACTTGCATGCTGCAAAAAAACATAATGTCTTGTATTCCTAAAAACAAACAAACCTCAAACTTTTTAGGAACCTCGCCGTCCTCAACAATCGTCTGCTTTACGCTCCCAATGAGGAAGGATTAAGTGTAGGCGGGCAGTCTCTCCTTTCAGTAACAGACTATTGAAGCAGCTCTCTCAACGGCCCAGGAACTTCTTCATCATCAACTCCAACAACTTATTCTCAGACTCCAACCGACTCCTTTGACCCTTGCAGCATTTCACGTCACTGACAACATTCCCCCCAAACAAAGCAAATGCTTCTTACCCTATTACATGAAACGTCACCTCTTCTGGTTTTCACCTCGAAAGTGTCCTTCCGGCTTTCTCCCCATGCTTTTTTTTCTTTTTATATTTCTACCATCTCCACCTAACCACTGTTTCAAATCCGCTATATCCCAACTTCCACAAAATTCCTCCTCACGCGAGGGCTCCTAATGTTACAGTGGCACCACCTTCTAATCACATACGCTATAAACTTCAGCTTCAGGTCCAATCCAAATCTACCAAGTCCCGCCAGCCGCACTGCTCATCGCTCTTCCACACTCGCTGCCACCGCCTCAGTCGAGGTTCCCATCACCTCCCTGAACCGCAGCACCTCCTCCCTGCATTCCCCACGCCAGGCGCCTCCAGGCGCCACCCGCCAACATAACGGGTCAGTCAGGGGCTCTGTTCTTCAAAGCAGAAGCTTGGGGCTGGGGTTCAAGTCGTCGGTACTCCAGCTCACTGCGGGTGGAAGACCTTCCCGCGCCCGAGAACGCAGAGGGCCCCCAATGAGCTAGAACCTCTCGGGCCTGCGGCCTGAGAACACAGGGCTGCAGGTGCACCGCTCCCTTCCGGCCCCGCTGGCAAGGAAGCCCGGAAGGCCGGGAGAGAGGCGCGGCCCCGGGCCACCGCGCGGGAGACGCTCCCGCAGCCCACGATATTCAGCCTACTCCCCAGTTTTCGAGCTGTCCCCTGACCGCAGACTCCTCGCCCCTCACACTCACCCCGACACCTGGGCCTGTCAGTGATTCGGCGCCGGGTCCTCTCCGGACCGAGACTGAGGCAGCTGAGAAGGCCGTGAGGACCCCGCAGGTGGCGTGCCCAGTAGATTGCCTGACTAACAGCTTCAAAGAGACCAAATAGGTCTACAGATTTGGAAAGATTAAATAAGCGGGAAGACGTTGAATAAGAAGAAATACAGCTCTTTAGGTTCAGGATTCAAATCTTTAAGACCACCGAAAATTTAGAAGAGCGAGGGGGTTTCGCGTTATCTGTATTCAGGCGCTCATCCGCAGCCTAACGCAATCTGGGGGGGGTTGTCCCCAAACGTGGGGGCGGGGCCAGGGAGGGGCTGTGTATTAGCCAGTGGGTGGAGCTGACGGGTAGAGCCAATGACTGTGGGTGGGAGAGGCACGAACTGGGAGGAGTCGGGCGGGGAGGGGCTTGTAAAAAACGGAGGCGGTGTTACGAGGAGGGGGAGGGACTAGA